CAGAAAGCGTCTGGAGGAGACCTGTCAACTTGTTAGAGAAAGTTTGTATGTAGCTCAAAGCAGTCAGAAGCAATTCTATGACAGGAAGGCCAAGGATTGACATTTCAAGGTTGGACAGAAGGTCTTGGTTCTTCTACCAACAGACAACAACAAACTCACCCTACAATAGAGAGGACCTTTTGAAGTACAGGAAGTGGTTAACAGAATGGACTATAAGGTGAAAGTGGACGAGATGACCAATATCCACCATGCTAATTTGTTGAAAAAGTAGTTACTTTTAGAGGGAAGAAGACCTAATGGATGCAACTATTGAGGCACAAGTAGATGTCGCAGGTGTGGCAGTCATAGATGCAAAACCAGAGATTGTAGCTTTGTCATAGAAGATGAAAGCCTACTAGACCTAAGACCACTGAGTGGAGATGAGATGTAAAAAGACGTCAACATCAGTGAAGAACTGGCTGGCAAGCAGAAGAAAGAGCTACAATATTGACTGTGCCAAGATGCAGATGTCTTCACAGATAGACCAGGCAAGACAAACTTTGTGCAACACAAGATCAAGATCCCGACTAGGGATCCAGTCAAAGTGAAGCCCTACCAGATGCCTTATATGATGAAGGACCAGATCAAGCAAGAAGTTAAGGTAATGTTAGAAGCTGGAATCATTGAACTTTCAAATTCAGCTTACTGCTCAACAGATGTAATTGTGAAGGCGAGGGATGGTTCATACTGCTTCTGAATATATTTTTGGAAAATTAACCTTATAACGACGTATGACCTCAGCAAATGTTATTGGAAGATCCCAATTATGACAGGATCTAAAGTGGTGACAGTCTTTGTGACACCAGATAGATACTACCAGTTCAAGAGGATGCTGTTTGGGTTAGTCAGCTCAGCAGAAACATTCAACCGAATGATGAAGAAGATGTTGCACAAAACCAACAATATCAAGCATTATGTGGATGACATTCTGACCCACTTACCCAGATGGGAAACCATCTGAAGAAACTCGGAGCTCTGTTTGGGAGGGTGAGGACAGCATGTGACCAGATTCTGCAGGGCATGTGTTCTCTGCCAAAGGACAATATCTAGAGGGAAGGTAGCCAAAGATTGTGGTTAGTGGGATACTATAGGAAGTTCACCCCAAACTATACTGCAGCTGCTGAATCACTGAAATACCTGACCACAAAAGGCCAACCCAACAAGTTGAAGTGGGAATAACCATAACAGATGGCGTTCAAGAGGATGAAGATGTTAGGAACTTAACCAATTCGTAGAATGCCAGACTTCAACAAACTGTTCATCATTCAGGCTGATGCATCAGACATTGAGATTGGAGCAGTACTTCAGCAAGAACATGTAGATAGAATGTTTCCCATAATGTATGTCACTAAGAAGCTGTTGAGTAAGGAGACAAACTATTCTGTGATTGAATCATAGTGTCTGGCCCTCATATTTGCCATCCAGATATTCCATAACTATTTCTATTGGAAGGAGTTCATCATCCATATGGAACATCAGACTCTTGCATACATCCAGAGGTGCAAAACTGACAGTGCGAGGATCATGAGGTGGGCATTATACCTCCAGAACTACTGCTTGCACATTGAAGCCATCAAAGGGACTGCAAATGTTGGAGCAGATTTTATAATCATACTTGTGCATCAACTGAAAACGGTCTTTGTGTATAGTATACAGACAAATAAATGACTTATACACAAGTGCACAAACAAAAACATCATCTTTAGTCACCACTCACGATTCTTACTTCTGTAAAGGGCTGACTTCGATGGTTTGGCTGCTGGGGCAAAATGTAATTGAATGTTGTTAAAGACAAACCTACAGAATAGACTATCTGTGTTATGCCCACCAATAAATAGAAACACGAATTTTAGTGTTATCAGCTTTCAACTTCTCAGTTGTGTCACTGAGGGGCAGCAGGAGGAGAACATTTTAACTCGAACAAGATATAAAGGACTATATTGTTGCGTCAGCGAAGTCACATGACTAGTGTCACGCCACGTTTCTAGAACTATCCTGTACCTTGGCGAATGCTCTAGCATTTACTAGATA